CTCCTAGAGCCTCAGATCACATTTAGAAATCATCTTTAAAAGGCTTCTTTATTTTACTGTCTGAAACTATTAAATATTTCTACCATTTTGTGCACATTTTCAAGGAAAAGCAGAAATGGGCAAGTAGAGAAATATGGCTATTGGCTTTAATTACACAACTGTCTTGGCAAATTAAATGTGTTGTGGGTGAGGTTGGAAGACTCCAAATGACAGAACACACTTTGTCATGTGGAGTCTTCTCCCTGGCAGTCTCAGCATCTGCTTGTTTTTATTCAGATATTTTTTAATAACTGTAGCTAAAATATTGAAAAAGAAATGGAGCTGCATATTGCCAAATGTGTAAAATAACACATCTGTGTCCTTCCATCAGCCAAAGTCAAGCCCATCGTCATTTCGGACTCGAATCACTCCAGCTCAGATGAGGCGTTTGAATTCCAGGGTGACAGTGAAAGCAACTCTGAATCGGACACAAACTCTAAGAAAAAGGCTCCTCCCAAGCCCAGACCTGCTCCCAAGTGAGTATTTTTCCATAATCACTGGAAATTAGTAGTGCTTAATGCTACACAGAAATTAAAAGGAATTTTTTTCTAATGCCTTTCTTTAGTGCGTCATAAAACAAATTAAAAACTTGGAGTTTTGTTTTCCAGGGAAACCACTGAGAAAGCAGCAAAAGCTCCCAAGCAAAAGGCAGTGCCAAGTGCTGACCCTGGTGAGTGTGAGACCTCTAAACCATGTGGATTGCTCTATAATCCTTCAGCAGTGCAGAGGGGATAGCTTGGCTGTTTCAGGCTGACCTTCTGCTCTCCTTATCCCGTTCCAGTCCAAGATGTCCCTGAGGACAAGGTGAGCCGGGCTCCCGCAGCTCCGTCCGTGCCAGTGCCAAGCACCAAGGCTGTGCCTAAAAAACCTGCAGCAGCCAAGAAGGCTGGAGCTATCAAGGGTAAGGGCAGCTCAGCAACATCAGTTCTAGAGAACAATTATAATTCCTGTGGGAAACAATCCCAGTGATTTCACGTGGTGTTCCAGGGCCTGGGCAACTGGAGTTTGCATTTCAGCAGAGATCTGAGGTTTGTGGCAGAGGTTCTCTGGTTGTCAGGTTTGAGGTCTGTTTCCAAACATATCATGTTCTAGTTCATGTTGGACATGCTTGGAGGGAGGGAATTTTAGTTTGGGAACAGGAAAAGTGAATGCTTCCTACGGTGCTATGTAATACTTGGCAGGGATAATCCGAGTGGAATTTGTGTCTTGCAGTCAATGTCCTACTTCATGTCTTTTTCAGAAGCAAGGCAAGCTTGGAGCAGGCAAGCTTTTGGGGGCAGTTTGATCTGTTCAGTGCTGGATCCATCTCATCCATCTCCAGCATCTGACTTGGGGTTTTTTAAACTCAGCTGCCAGACTTTGACACTGTTTTGTATATTCCAAATGGAATCAACTCAGTGTTGATCCCAGCAGGAAAATAGTGTTACTTCCACTCTTAAATTGAGAAAGCATGTTATCACTCAGAAATGGCCTGAAATGAGCTGAACTGGAAGTTGTGCCTCAAGATGTTCTTTTAAAAAAGTGAATAGATAGGTAAGAAGGAATGAGTGAGTGTTTGGGAAATTCCTTCCTCCCTGTGCAGGAGTTTGAAGGTCTGAGATGGGTTACAGAGCCTTGAGAGATCAGGACTTTTTCAATCTGAAATAGTCTGTAAATTGCTTTGGGGACGCTTTAATTTGATCCTCTAAGTGTGGCAGAACTGAGCAGACAAACAACCTCATTCCTCACCATCTGTGGAAGAGGGATCTTTCTGGAAAACCCAGCTTCAAACAGAGACGACCTGTGCGCTGACCCAACAGCACAGAGCCTGTTTCTGTTGGAAGTAATTCCCAAACTGGGAGCGAGAGAGGAACGAAACAGGGGTTTAACGCTGTGTTCTGTTCCAGACAACCAGCTCTCCATCAGGGATATCCTGGCCAAGAAAAAGGCTGCACCCAAACCCAAGCCAGCAGTGAAGGAGGAACCCCTGTGTGCCGAGGGTGACAATGCCAAGGGGAGGAAGGTTATGAAGAGACAGCCAATTTCTTCAGATTCCGATTCGGATTTTGGCTCCAAGGCTGCCAAATCTGTTGCATCAAAGGTTTGTGCAATGCTATCAGTGCCGAGGAGTGTGGGGTCGATTCTGCCGGCAGGAAAAGCTGGTGGAGGTCAAACCTCTACCTGGATGTGGGGAATGGGGAAGAGGGGGGTTATAGAATCATGGAATATTCTGAGCTAGAAGGGACCCACAGGGATCATAGAACTCCCATCCCTGCACAGGACACCCCAGCAATCCCACCGTGTGCTGAGAGCATTGTCCAAACACTCCTGGAGCTCTGTCAGCCTTGGGGCTGTGCCCATTGCCTGGGGAGTCTGTTCAGTGCCTGAGCACCCTCTGGGATAAGAACCTTTTCCTCATAAGGGTCAGACAGCCTGGATCCTTGGTCTGCTCCCACCACCTCACCCACTGGCCCCATGGCACAGGAGGCATGTGGTGCTCGTTGTGTTCCCTGTCAATGCTCAGATCCATGATTCCTTTCCTTCTTTCCCTCCAGAAATCCAAGCTACAGGACAGCTTTGACTCCGGTGATGCAAGTCCTGTAGCTCAGCCCCGTGCCAGGCCTGGCCGCCTTAAAAAACCTGTCCAGTACCTGGAGGAGTCCTCTGAGGACGATATATTCTGAGTTTATAGGAAAATTTTAAACTCCAGATCCACAATGAACCTTCAGCTGCGCTCCAGAGCTCCCACCAAAGACCACCTGAGCCTAGGAAATCTTCACTAAACGTGAGCCACTCCAGAAATGTTCATTACAGGTGAACACAGCTCCGTTTTTCTTAGTTTTAAAGAAGTTAGATTTGTTTAAACAGGAACATTCCCTTTTTGGTGAACACTGGAGCCACATGCCCAGCGAGTGCTGCCACACTTCCCTCTTCCCCATTGTTCGACACTATGTGGTCATTTTAGTGTTAAAGTTGACTTTAGAACGTGTCACATCTTTTAAAATTTATATATCTCTCTTGAAATATCTTGCAGTACTAAAATTTTTAATTCCACCACTCAACACAGGAATCATTTTTCCAGCACTATTCCTTCACTATGTAAATATTCTTTGTGTTTTTTTTTTCTTGTTGTCCTGAGTTTGTTCATTTAAATATTTGTCTAATAAAAGTGGTTTTACTTATTTTCTTCACTGAATTTATGTGTTTTTAGGGAAATAACAACTGCAGAGTTTGTGCTAAGCCCCCCCTCTGTCACAGCAAAGGGCTTGGCACAAGCTCTGGAGGGTGCTGGGCTGGTTGGCCACTTCCCCACTGGCTGTGGCCACTGTGGCTCCAGCTGAATTCTTGTGAACACCCCTGTGGTCCCCAGCACGGGGGGAGCTGCTTGCCCAGAGCAGTTGTGCTTGCCCAGAGCAGTTGTGCTCAGCCCATCCCTGGAAGTGTCCAAGGCCAGGTTCGAACAACCTGGTCTAGTGGAAGGAGTCCCTGCCTATGGAAGGGGATGGACTGGGATGAGCTCTAAGCTCTCTTCCCATCCAAACCATTCCATGATTCCATGAAAGCCCAGGGCCCCCCGTGCTATCGGTGCTTTGCTGGAACCCAGTCAAGTGTGGAAAGCACTGTCAGATTTTCCACTGGCTCTGGAGAGCGTCTCCAGCGCGTCCCCTCAGAGGGCTGGGCTATTTACGGCTCCTCTTGCTGCAGAACACGACCCATGACAGAGCCACGGGTGGGTTGTGGGGCTGCTCTCAGAACTCTGGATCACCCTAATGTGGATGGAGAGCTTTGGGAACACAGTGGAGCGCGGAGTCGGTACCAGGAGTTTCCCATCCCAAAACCTTGGATGGAGTGCTGGGGATGTTGTTGGATGGAAGCTGGACTCTGGGGCATCAGGCACTGACCCACACTGGGCATTGCACATCCCCAAGGGCTGAGGGTGGAATGAGGGTGACCTGTGTTATCCAGGGCTCTGCTCCCATTTCTGGAAAGGGGATTTGAAGGGCCACCAACTTGCTGTCAGCACTGGCCAGGGGCTGGCAGGAGCCCTGGCTGTGCCACACAGGATTTTGTAGGGGTTATTCTACACATGCCAGAGCTGGGGCCAACCTGGGAAGATCCATGGGAGCCCCAACAGCCCTGGCACTGTGTCCTGGGACAGAGAGGACTGGTGCCAGCTGTGAGCATCTCCCAGGCACTGCAGGGCTGGAGCTGTGGCAGCATGGGTCAAGGGGGTGATACCCTCTCATGGGTCAGGGGGGTGATACCCTCTCATGGGTCAGCGGGGTGATGCCAGCAGAAGGGGGGGCGCTTTTGGGGGCCGAGTGCTGTGGCCTGGGGACTCTGAGCCCCAGTGGGTTCGGGAAGGACAAAGTTTGGGGGCATTTCTGCCCTGGGGGTGGGCACCACCCCTCTCCCAACCTATGCCCTGGGCAGCTGCTGGCCCTGGGCAGGGCAGCTTTTGTCCTTGAGCCCCACCGGCAGTGCTGAGCCCTTCCCTCCCTCCCTCCAGGCGCCCCTGCGGGTGCTCTGTCCCTTTAAAAGGACTCCAGGCGTGGCCGTGGGACCATTATCCCGTTCCAGCTGGACAAAGAGACTGGACAGTCCGGGACAGCCCTGGCCGGCCGGAGCCAGCAGCGCTGGCACACCGTGGACCGCAGCGTCCGCAGGTACGGGGCTGTTGTGGGGGCCGAGCTGCGGAGGGGGACAAGGGATGGGGAATCTGCTGCTCCTGCCCCTGTTGTTGGTGTCCTTGTACCCATCCCTGGGGAAGCGAGTCCTGGGCACAGCGGGTGCCTGGGGACACTCGTGACGGGGCTGAGCTGGACTGGCAGTGCCTGGGCACCCTCCCGTGAGCGGGAACTCCGTGGTGCGTTTGGGAACGGCGGGAGGATGGAGAGCTGGAGGGGCCGTGCTGCCACCGGGCTCCGACCTGGCGGGCACTGCGTCCCCTCCAGCGCTGACCCCGCTCCCGCAGCGCGGCCATGGGCGAGTGGGGCTTCCTGAGCTCGCTGCTGGACGCCGTGCAGGAGCACTCGCCCATGGTGGGCCGCTTCTGGCTGGTGGTGATGCTCCTCTTCCGCATCCTGGTCCTGGCCACCGTGGGCAGCGACGTCTTCGAGGACGAGCAGGAGGAGTTCGTGTGTAACACTCAGCAGCCGGGCTGCAAACCCGTGTGCTACGACGCCGCCTTCCCCATCTCCCACTATCGCTTCCTCGTCTTCCACGTCGTTGTGCTCTCGGCGCCCGCCGCCCTCTTCGTCATCTTCGCCGTGCACCAGGCGGCCAAGCCGGGGCGCGGGGGGGCTCCCGGCCAGCGCGCCCGCCGCCTCCAGCCCTTCTACGTGGGCAGCGTGGTGGCTCGGATCGCCGCCGAGCTGGGCTTCCTGCTGGGCCAGGCGCTGCTCTACGGCTTCAGGGTGCAGCCGCTCTTCGTGTGCCGCCGGCGGCCCTGCCCGCACCGCGTCGACTGCTTCGTCTCCCGCCCCACCGAGAAAACCGTCTTCATCCACTTCTACTTCGTGGTGGGGCTGGTGTCGGCGCTGCTCAGCCTGGCCGAGCTCGCCCATCTCCTGCGCAAGGGGCCCCCGGCCCGGCCCGGCTGCTGCCACCGGCCCCAGGAGCGGGGCCCGGCGCCGGGACAGCCGGCGGGGGCTGCGGACGGGCCCTGCGGTCCCCACCCGCGGGGAGACCTCACCGTGTGACCGGGCCCCGGCTGGGACGAGCTGAGCCCGGTCTCAGGCCGGCGGCGACTGCGGATCTCCCTGCCCCGGAGGGGTCTCGGTCCTGGCCGTGCCCGGGAATCCGGGCCGGGCCGGGCCGGGCTGGGCCGTGCCCCGCTGCCCCCGGTTCCTGCTTGGGCGGCGGATGGGCCTCACCCGGCAGCTGCTGGAAAAAAAATACGGACAAAAAGAAAACAAACAGGTCCCATCCCTTCCCAGCGGCAGGAACACCCCTGACCCCCCAGCGCAGCACGGGAGGGCCAGGACTGCCCCCAGACCTTGTGCTGGGAGTGCCACAAATGCATCAGGGCTGGCCCCTGGCATGAAGGGACACGACTGTGGCTTCAGGAGTGGGAAGTTCAGAGCTTTAGGGTGCTGGGGGACCCCAAAGGGTTCTCACCCGGCCTTTAGGGATGACCAGACAGGGAGAGCAATGGGGGCGGGGGGGGGTCCTGGGCTACCCTCCTGCAGCTCTACACCCCCCCTCAACCAGGACTTGGGACCATTCTCCTCCCCACCCCTGCACCCCCTCCTCCCCTGATACCCTCACAAGAATAACGAGCCGGGCACTAGAATAAATAAACTTTATTCTGGAGCCAGCCCCCCCCGTCCCCCCTCCCCGTTCTCCCCGTGCCGGCAGGGCCGGGCCCCCCATCCCCGCGAGGCCGGGACTGGCACCACCCTGTGCCCCCCACAGTCCCCTCCCCGCCTGGGGGGCCGGGGCAGGGCCCGCCCGGTGCCCCCCGACTCTAAATCCACTAAAATCTCAACAACAACAACAAAAAAAAATGAATTTAATAATAATAAACCGTGTGCCCCCTCCCTCCCCTGGCAGCGCCCGCCGTGCCCCCTCCACCTGCACAGGCCTAAAAACCCCTCCAAACTTTTACAAAGGTTTTAAAACGTATTTATAGATATTTATAGATATTTATATATATATACTTTGCTTTCTTTTCTCTTTTAAATGACTCTGCTTCCTCGGCGTGCGGGGCTGGCCGGACCCCCCCGCGGACGGCCGGGGCGGGGGGGGGGGCTCGGTGGTCGCGATCCCGTGGGTGCTGGTGCTGGTGGGGCCGGGGCGTCCCCGGGGCCGCGGCCGAGGTCCCCGCGCCCCTGAAATGTGACTCAACCAAGGCGCTGGGCCCGGGGCTGGGGGGTCCCAGCGGGGGCCGCTCCGGCGGGGGCTGCCGAGGAGTCCGCCCCGGGGGGCTGCAGCCGGGCCGGGCGCCGGGACTCCCCCCGTGCCGGCGTGCCGGGCTCTGTCCTGGTGCGCGCCGGGCGCGGGTCACGGCGAGTGCGTGGCCGGGCTGCTGCGGTTGGAGCTGGGCGAAAGGCTGGGGCTGCAGCTGCCCGGGGGGGGGCCCAGGCTGCCCCCGCGGGGGCCGCCCGCCTGCCCCCCCAGCGTGTCCATGCCCTCCGAGTTCTCCAGCATCTCCTGGATGAGCGGCGGCATCGAGCCCGGGATCTCCATCTTCAGCGTGATCACCCGCTCGGCACCTGCGGGAGGGGCAGGGTCAGCAGGGCACTCCCAAAATGGCACCCTGAAACTGGCACACCCCAAACGGCACCCAGAAAAAAACAAAATGGCACACTAAAACTGGCACCCAAAAAATGGCACCCCCAAAAGAGCACCCTGAAAGTGGCACCTCAAAACCAGTACCCCCAAAATGGCATCCAAAAAGTGATACCACCAGAACGGCACCCCAAAGCATCACCCTCAAAGTGAAAACCCCAGCTTTGTTTGTCCCTGGGTTCTGAGGACAAGGGATGTGGTCACATCCCCAGAATCCCTGGAAGATGCAGTCCTGGGTGTGTCCTCTTCTTCATCCCCTCTGGAGGATGCTGGGTGACCTGGACCCCCTCAGGGTCCCCTGGATGCTCCCTCAAGACCCGAAGCCGCAGGAGCCTCACCCTTGGCGCTGATGCTGCGCAGGTCTGTGATCTTCATGAGCATCTTGGGGAACATGTGGGGCTTGTTGGGCCTCCTCTTCCTCACGTAGATCTTCAGTGCCTCCAGCAGTGGCTCCTGCAGCTTGTCCACCTTGTCAGGCTGCTCCAGGTCCTGGCGGTCTGGGGAGGGGGCACACAGTGGTTGGGGGGGACAGCACATGCTGTGGGTTCCCAGCTCCCACCGCCTGGGCTTCATCTGGGGTCTCCTCGCTCAGCCCTTGGGGGAGGACAGCCAGGCTGCAGCGGGAGCCCGCCCATCCCTGCACCCACCTCCGCAGATGAGGCAGATGGCACTGAGCAGCCCCGTCTCGGCATCGTCCATCTCCAGCGGCAGCAGCTGGTTGGCGAAGGCGAAGACCAGGTCGGTGAGGGGCCCGAACCCCGCGTTGTGCATCTGCGTGCGGTTCAGCGTCAGCCCGTCCGAGAAGGTCATGGTGTCCTGCTCCGGCGTGTAGCGCGTGCAGATCCGCAGGATCTGGGGGGGGAGAGGGCAGGGGGCTCAGCCTGCTGTCCCCTCCCCGTCCCTGTCCCCATCCCTGTCCCCCTGCTCACCAGGATGTCGAGGCAGGCGGCTTTGAGGAGGGTGATCTGGTCGGCGATGGTGAGCGTGGTGAAGCCGGGGAGCTGCTTGGCGAACTCCACCGTCTTGATGATGCACTTGGTGGACAACTCGCTGAACTTGTCCCACAGGTCGATGTCCAGGGACACGCGCTGCTCCGAGCTGTTGTTCTGTGGTGGGAGGTGGGGGATGAGGGCACGGAGGGGGTGCCACCCTTCCCAGCCCCCCAGGACCCCCGGGACCCCGTGACACCCACCGTAGTGTATTTGCCGAGCTGGCAGAGCGCGGGGAAGGTCTCCTGGTGGGCTTTGCGCACCTTCTCGATGAGCTCCTCCACCTCAGGTGTGATGATGTAGCTCTCCGAGCACTCCGGCTTGGGCACGTCCTTCTTCTTCTTGTTCCGGTCATTGCGGACGGCTGCAGGAATGGCAGGGTCAGTGTCACCTGTCCCCGGTGCCACCCAGCCCCTGCCCCACCACGCTCTGCCCCTCAGGACAGGATGGGGACCTGCCACCAGCAATGGGCTCAGCTGTAGTGATGAGCTCCCAGCAGAGCCATCAGCCCCACAGATTCCTTTAAACAGCTCCCAAGTCATTAGGAACAATTAGGGGTGCAGTTCGACCCTGAAGCCTTGGGGGCCCCACACCCCTCGCCAAGGGGACGTTGCTCTGCAAAGCCAACGCATCAGAGAGGGACCCTGGGGACAGAGAATGGCAGCTGAGCCACCGTGCTGGGTGAGGGGCACGGGAGGGACCCTGGGGATGGCAGCTGGGAAGGGGGGAGCAGGTGAGAGGAGCCCCCAGCCCTGCAGGGATCAGCCTCTGTGGGCTTGAGAGGACCAGGACCCCTCTTAGGTGCAGGGTGAGTCCCTGGGATGCTGAATCCCCCTGGCAGTTCCTGGCCCCCCAGGCTCTGCCAGCTCCTCCCAGGGGTCCCAGGCCCCCAGGGGTTGGCAGATGGGGCAGGACTCAGGGAGGCAGCTGCGCCTCAGCAGCCCTATCCCCCGGGCACCCACCGCAGGGGCACAGCCGGGCACCATGACAACTGCCAGCGGAGCCGGGAGGCCTCATCAGTGTCATTTATCTCTGACATTATCAATCACGTGTTGCCCGGGCAACTGCCAGGCTGTGACACAATCCCAGGGGGTCCCCATCCCCCCCAGCCTTGCTGGGCACATGGTGGGGGCTGCTGGGATGGCCCATCACACCCAGAGCCCCCCCTGACCAGGACACCAGGCAAGATGTTCCCATCCCACCCCGATCTTCATCGCTGTCCCCATCCCTGTCCCCATTCCCATCCCCACTCACACTCCTTGGACATCCCGACTTCGAAGCACTTCTGGAGCCGGCAGTACTGGCACCGGTTGCGCGTCACCTTGTTGATGATGCAGTTCTTGTCCCGGTGGCACGTGTACACCATGTTCTTCTGGATGCTGCGGCGGAAGAAGCCCTGGGGACCCCGCACGCCCCGGTCAGCGCCTGGCAGGGGGACCCCGAGCACCCCGAGCACTCCGGGGAGCCGTGGCGGCAGTCGGGGCCGGTGGCAGCGCTCACCTTGCAGCCCTCGCAGGCGCTGACCCCATAGTGGTACCCCGAGGACTTGTCCTGGCACACGAAGCAGGGCTTGTAGATGCGGGGCAGGGGTGGGGGCGAGGGGGGGCTGGGCACGATCTCCTCGGAGCTGGTGCTCTGCGTCTCGACGGCTGTGGGGAAGGGGCAGCACTCAGGGCACGGAGCCCCCCGGGCAGGGACCCCCCCCACCCCGCACCCCACGGCTGCTCCCCAGCTCTGGGGGTCCCGGCAGCCCCAGCCCCGCGCTGCCCACCCCGGCCCTGGCGCCAGGTCGAGCGGGGCCAGCGGGGAGAGGACGCGTGCTGGGAAGATGCAACGTGACATTTCCAGGTCACAGAGACGATGTGGAATTCAGGCAGACAAAAAAAAAGGAAAAAAAAAAGCAAAGAAAAGGGCCGGGATCCCAGGAGCCCCCAGCCCAGGCGGCACTGCCAGAGGATGGAGGGACAGAGGGTGCAGGGCCAGCTTGGGGGGCCAGTGCCACACACACATGTGGGGACATGTAGTGTGAAACCTGTACATACAGGGTGACCCCACATGTACAATGTAACCCCCATATGTGCAGGGTGACCCCCACAGCCCGAGAGTCACCCTCCACCCCCAGCCAAAGCGTGGCCCCCCCAGGACATCCCCAAGGGCAGCGCTGCCTTTGTCCCCCTAACAAGCAGATGCTGGCCCTGACAGCACAGGGGACACAGCCAGTACCTCTGCACCCCAAAACCTTATGGATCATGTCTGCTCCCCTCCTGAACCCTAAAACCTCGAGGCACGTGCCTCTTGCAGCCCAGAAGCACCCCCGTCCCCCAGGACCCTGCGGGAGGTGCCCAAGTCCCCCAGGTCAAGCCTTGGCCCCTGTCCTAGCACAGCCCAGGTGGGGAGCGGGGTGCTCAGTGCAGTTGGGG